TTTTTTTTTTTTTTTTTGAGATCTTCCCGATTTTTTTTGGTTTTCATTGTCTTTTTTTTTATAAAGTTCAAAGTCATTCCCAAAAGTTCAATTTTCCCTTTTATGATTTTGATTGGTAATTAATAAGATTAATACTAAAATAAAAAAAAAAGAAAAAAGGGAAAATTGAGGATAGGGAAAGGAAGATCTACTTTTTTTTCAATTTCATAAAAAATGATAAAAAATAAGAAATAAAATATTTTTTTTGAAAAATAAAAAGTATAACATAATATGCAAAATGTTAAATCACATAAATGTTTTTCCTTTTTAAAGAGAAGTAAATTTTGATTGCTACTATACTACATGATCAAAATAATGCTAAAAATAAAAGATAGAATAGAGGCTTTTTTTTTGAGTGCCATGTTTCTTCTTCTTTCTCTCTATAAAGAGAAAAAAAACTGTACAATTATTATTAGGTAATTTTGTTTCATAAGGATTTTTTAGTTAAAAATATCTTTTTTTTTGTACTGTAAGAAAAATGAGATGCTATAATTGATCATAGTGTTCTTGACCTTCTTGAAGTAGAGGTATAGGTAGTAGCAGCTTTATTATGATAGCCTGTAGTGGTTGACCTTCTTCGTGGTTTACGCTCTTTCGTATCGTCTTTGTCGTATCCAGTAAGATATCGCATATACAAAAATGTTTCTGCAACACCAACGATAACACTTCCGGTAAAAGCGAGCAACACACGCTAATTATTTAAAGAATAGGGGGGTGGACAAAAAAAAAATAAAGATTAGATAATACAATTTAATATGCGAAGAAAAAAAAAGATTTTTTAAGTCAATCTGTAAATACCATTCCCGTATCACCAGTAATTGTTTGAGCTACATGATATACAGCTGCAAAAACGGCGACAACGGTAAACGTGATGTTGACTATGGCAGTAAGCTGGCTGCGAACACTTTGGAATTCTTCGGTATCGAGTAGTTTAAAGGTCTCTACATCATAAGAGGAGGCGACTTTGCCAACCATACGCGCATATTCTTTATTGGCTTGTTCGGCAAGAATTTTTTCTAACCTAGCAACTAATTCTGGACTCTGTGAAAAAATGTGAAAAAAAAAAAAAAAAAATTTATTAAATATTAGGTAATTAAATTTAATTTATACAAAGTCAGTTTCATTGAATTTATTTATTTACCTTAACCTTCTCTTTGCGAGGTTCCAAGTACACCCCGCTCCCGGTGAGCAGCTCATGTAGCCAATAGTGTGAAAGGCCTAAAGTGAAAAAAAAGATAAATAAATTAGTAATGTGGTAATGTAACAAGGTTGGCAGATATTAATTATTTATGGTAAGCAACTTCGGTAAAACTCGGGAAAATGATACAAGCTTACATAACATAAATAATAATATAAAGTTATACAATAAAAGTACCGCAGAAAATATATTGATAATTTACCAATTTCTTTACCGAGTTTGCCATCGTGGCTAACCAAGAATTTTGAAACCTCTTTGATAAGGTCGAGAGGAATACAAGAGGAAAGTTTAAGATAATTTTTGAGCCTTTGTTTGGCAGATTCATCAAATTCAGGTGATTGTAAAGCATGGTATATGGCAGTTCGGATACGGTCAGTCAATACGAGTAAAACCATGATTATTTGTGTGATATGAAAGGTATAAAAGGGAAAAAGTGTGTTTCGTTTATTATGTTTTCGTTAAAAAAAGTGATAAATTTTATATCATAAAAATATTTTGTTTAATTATATCGGTTAAAAATAAGAAAAAGAGTAAAGGGTTGGTTTTTTTAAGGTAATTTTTTTTAAAAAAAAAAATATGAGAAAATATCATAAAATAATTTTTTGCAAGTTTAAAAAATTTTTCGTTAACTTAAAAAATTGAAATAGTCTTTGACTTTTAAAAAAAGTCTAAGAGAAGGTAGGAACGTTATAGGAACTGGGGTGTAAAAATCAGTTAACCGAATAAACAAAAGAAGAGAGAAATAGTCGGGTATATATAATTATTTGGAACACTAAAAGCAGCATTATTTTGTGATAATTGATTTGATTGATGAAATGTTATATTGTACAAGCTAGGAACCTTTAGAGAATTACATATAAAAAATTTTTTTTATTGTTTATATTATATGCGCCATGATATGCTTTGATTAACTTGATTGAAATTAGTGGCTATTGTTTGGCGGTTGCCAGGTTCTTATTGATAACGACAATGAATCCCATTTGAAATTTAGATATGTCGGAAAATTTTCCGAATGTTAGATCATGATTGATAGATAAATCCATGTTACCATAAATCCGATCTATAAAAAAATATACAATATTTATGTATATGTATGTACTATATTCTTTATATTTGAATCTAGGAATTAGAAAAAATCTTTTTCGGAATCCTTAAATGGAAATCAAGTGTGAATTGGCGCGTATCGTATTTTTCGCATGGCACCCTAACAAACAAAGTAACACAGACCATTATCGATGATTAAGTGTTTTAAGGGTGTAACATCTTATTGTTGTTACCACATGGAAAACATCTTCTAACATTTTCATGAGTATCTACATTTCCTTCCTATTGTTTTTAATAGCCTGTCACATGAAGATTGAATTTATAGTTTTTGACATATTTTATATATCAAAATTTACTAAAATGACCGGATTTCATCGATCCGATTTTATGGCCTTACCGCAGGTGAGTTTCTCATTTTAAACAGGATTTACTGATAACGCCATTTGTGAGAAATGTTTAATTTTTTTTTTCCAATTTATTCAACAAATTCCAACTTTTCTTTCCGGTAATTCCAATAGATATGCACGGACCATCATAAATCGATTAGTTCAAATGTGAAATTACAAGTTATTAAACTTGTTTTTTTATTGCGAAAAAAATTTTTTTTTTTTTTTGTGCCAATTCAATTTATATGGGAAATAGGTAATTCAATTATTACTATAAATAATTAAGAAAACTTGTTATTGTTTACATCCTGTCTCTTATACACATCTAGATGTGTATAAGAGACAGGTCCAATTTATTTTACATGTGAAAAGAATTTCAAAAAAAAAAAAAAATTTTTTTCCTACTTTTTGTGGATGCTTTTTTTAATTTAATGGTTGTACGAAAAAGTTTTTTGTTTTCGAAACAAAAATTCGTTCATTCGTGTAACTTTAAAAAAAATTTTTTTTACACTTATTATTTATTTGTAAATAATTCATTTTTTATTTACAAATAAAAAAAGGGTTTTAATATTTATTATTTTTTTTTATTTATTTAATAGATAACAACAATAAACGCCAAATATTTTTTTATGAGATATTTTGTGTATTCGTTCTAGAATTCTGTAAAAGTTGAGCTGCAAATATTTCCATATTTTTGACAGTTTCACGCCATTGTGATAAAACTTCTATCGTCGTCTTGAGCATATTTTCCGGTGGAATATCTTGTGGCAATACATTAGATGAAAATTCTTGATTTATTTCTTCATAATCATTTAGTACCAATAGAATAACTGTCTTAATAAAATCTCGAAGTTGTGGTACTAATCGCACAACTTTGTTAATTTGTTCTAGAGAAGGAATAACTCGATTCACATCATCTATTTTTAAAATTAACATGATTTCCTAATGAAGTAGGGTAATTAATCATTATTTGTTTTAGATATTCAGATATTATTAATTACCTAATACAAATATTTCGCTTACTTTGACTAAATCAGCCAAGGCTTCTACTTCCAATTCATCAACTTTGGTTAATTGCAATTTGAAATATAATTTATCCCTGAAAATGTTACGTCGCGTTTCTATTGTTTTTGATTCCTTTGTATCTAATAAATTAATTATAAATTTTTAACTTTAAAAAAATGTGTATTATAAATCAATCACATTTTATATATTTCTATATACCCTTAGAAGGACTCTTAGATAATGGTCTTGTGTTTCTTTTGTATGCATGCAATTCCAATTTGAGTCGTTCGTTCTCTTCACGCATAGATTCAAGTTCAAGAGAATTGGTATTGTTTTGACTATCCAACGCCATTTTTAAGCGTTTATTTTCCTCACGTAACTTTTCAAGTTCTTGCCAATTAACGGAATCAAACTTGAAATTTTTATTCTCTTCACGTAAATGATTTAATTCTTTCAAGAAATTATCGGAATAAATTTTTATTTGTTCATTTTCTTTTTGTAATAGATCAACTTCTCTACGAAGATTATCAGAATGAATTTTTAGTTTTTCATTCTCTTCACGCGTTTGTTCTAATTCTTGAATGATGGGATCAAGTTGATTAGCTTGCTTAATTTCTTTTCCTTCTTTTACTGTTTTTTCTACTACTACTACTTCTTCTATTACTTTTTCTTCTATTGCTTCTTTTATTACTTCTTCTACTATTTCTTTTGTTTTATTCTCTATGTTTTCCTTTTCTAACGCAATCCCTTCTTGTGAAATGTTTTTTATGAGATTAGACGATTCATTTGACTAATTAAATTAAAATTGATTAAATTAATAATTATTATTGAAATTTTTTTTTTTTTTTAAAAAAAAAAAAATGTAATAATGCATTAAAAACAATTTACATTTCCTAGAATATTAGAAGAATCATTTGATGATGAACTTTTCGTTTCTCGGTTTTCTAATAATTGTCTCAATTTTGTGTAATTAACTTCATCATCTTCTACAACACTTGCGACAAAATGTGTTACATCTCCTTTTTCAACTAGATATAATATAAATAAATTTTAATATCAGAAATTTTTCACATATATATACATATATAACATATATATATCTATTAAAAAGATTTATTTACTCATGATAGAAGGCATTTCAGTAATAGTTGAATTACTTAATATTGACAAATCATTTTGTGAATATTGTATAGTTTGATCATACTCATTCGCTTTTGCAGGGTGAGCAAAACTTGTTATTTCAACTCCTATATCTCGATAATCGATATTTTCTCTAGATACCACAGTTTTGGCTATAATAGAAGGAATTATATCAGAAACGTTACTAGATTCTTCAAAAGTATAAGTACGATTTGGAACAGGTGAAGAACAAGCTGACGCGTAATTGGAATGATTATCTTCTTGTACCATGTTACCAAGATTAAGATTTTTATTATTTATAACTTCAAAACCACTTTTGATATCTGAAGACATTTTTTTTTTTTTTTTTCAAAAAAAAAACTCAAAAATAAAAGAATAATAGTATTATTATATAAAGGAATATAAATGAAATCTTTCTAAAAGGAAATTTGAAATTTGAGTTCTAAGTTTTTAATACAAATGGTTTAAAAATTTATTTTTTTATAAAAGTTGTTTATATACGCGTGTTTCTTTCTTTTATAAACAAGGAGATTTTTAGTTCTGGTGGATTTAATTCGGGCTAAGATAATATGATATTAAAACGAAACTTCCTTTTTTATGTTACAACACGTGACAGCCTCAAATGTACTCTGTACGACTGTACGTAATTCAATTCAATTATATGAAGTCACGTGGGTAGAAAATTTGTTGGTGTTACTGAAAAATTGATCTAATGATCAACACTACAATCTAAAATTTTTTTTTTTTTTAAAAAAAAAAAAACTCATTTTCCAACATGGGAAAGAAAAAAATAACGAAATTTTCTTCAAAACTTAGGGTTAGCTTTGATGAAAATTCTATTAAAAATTCAAAAACTTCAAAAACTTCAACTACAAATTCTAAAAAACCTCGACCAAAAAATTCTTCAATAAGCAAACAGCAGAAAAAACCTAATAAAATTTTCGGAAATGATATTTTTGAAGTTGAACAAGACGAAACTAAATACGAACGACGTCGTAGAAATATCGATGAAATAGAAAGCTACGAGTATATCGGTGTTGATAAGATTGAAAAAAAGGATGATGAGGAGATTGATAGTGACGAAGCTTTTAATGATTCTGATGAAGAAAGGTTTGAACATTTTATATTTAGAGGATCTATTCAGAAAGTTAGTTTTTATCGCTATTATTTGAGTTGGTTTTTACTATATAGAACACGATTTTAATATTTAAAGATTTTGTAGGACATAAAAAAGCGGTTGGATGAAGAGATCGATTTAAACGAAACTGATGACGACTCCAGTGAGGAGGGTGAATCAGATGAAGGTGATGAATTAGATAAAGAGTATCAGGAAGATGAGAGTGGGATAACAGGAATAAATGTGGAGGGCTTTGTTGGATTTGGTGAATCAGACAGCGATGAAGACGAAACGGATGAGGAAGTTAAAGCTTTGATAGAAAATGAGGAAGATAATGATATGCAAGAAATTGATGATGAAACCAAGGCAGATAATCTGGCTTCTTTTATTGGTTCATTAGATAAAAAAAGGAAAAGAACTCTTGATGATGAAATAAATTCTTTCGAAAAACCAAAAAAGCAATTAAAAGAGCGAACAGAAGCTTATGAAGAATCAGAATATAATTTATCAACTAGAGAGTCTTCAAATGTTAGAAAGAAGATTGATCTGAGTGACCTTCTTGGATCAATTCAAGAAGAAACTGGTTTTAGTGGATTGAAACAAAAATTAGCATCACTGGAAAGTGGTGGTAATAAAGGAACTTATAAGGAACCTTTACCAGCTCCTTTACCTCCCCGAATTCAAGACAGATTGAATAGACAAGTTGCTTACGAAAAGACTAAAAAAGATATTACTAAATGGGAACCAATTGTTAAGCAAAATCGGGAAGCCGAACATTTAAAATTTCCCATCAATGCATCTCTTCCACATAAGCAAACAAATAGTGTTTTGGTTGCCACATTTCAAGTGTGTTAAATTATTTTCATTATTATTTAAACTTTATTTTGTCATTGTTTTATAACTAATTTACTAATCTTTGATTAGCCCTCAACAGGATTTGAAAAAGAAGTAGATTCCGTATTGGTGGAAAGTGGTGTAAAGGAAAAGAATTTACAACAATATGAAGAACTTCAGATGAGTAAATTGTCGGTTGAAGAGGTTGAAAAACGAGTGAAAGAATTGCGTAAAATGCGTGAATTAGCATTTCGCGAAGAGATCAAAGCGAGAAGGATCGCTAAAATTAAAAGTAAGACTTATCGTAAAATCAGAAAGAAGGAAAAAAACAAGTTAAGTCTTAAACAATTGGCCGAACTTGATCCCAAACTTGCTCGTGAAGAACAGTTAAGGCTTGAAACAACACGTGCTCAAGAACGTATGACTTTGAAACATAAGAATACTAGCAAGTGGGCTAAGCAGGCTTTAAAACATGGACATCATAATTTAGAGAGTCGCCAAGCAATTGCTGAGCAACTGCGAAGACACGAGGAATTAAAACGAAAAATTCATGACCTTGGATCTGATGAAGAATTAGATGATTTTTCAAGTGAAAATACTGATGTTGAAAAAGAGGATGATATTGACGCTATCAAAGCAAAAGTATTTGACGAATTGGCACAATTAGAACAGAAAGAAGGTGAAAATGAAGAAGAAATGAAAGGATTATTTGGAATGAAATTTATGCGAATTGCTACAGAAAGAGAAAAACATCGCACCCAAGGAATGATCGATGATTTCATCGAGGATTTGGAAAATGAAGAAAATGAAGAAAATGCAACAAAAGATGAAACTAAAAAAGAAGCGAAAGAGAGTTCAATAACTCACGTTGGAAACAATCCTGGTAGAATGATATTTGGAGGGGACATTGAGGTAAATTAAAACATGTTTCCTTAATACATATTATTTTCCAATTATAAACAATTATATATTAGTATTAAAATTGAATTTATTTAGAAATCAACTTCCGAACACAAAGTTGATATTAAAAAGGTATCTATTTTAATAATCTGAGCTGGAACTATCTAAATGTATATTTATCCGTCCTTTTTTTTTTATTCATAAGTTGTCGAAATCTATTTTTGACCCGAAATCTTCGCTCTCAGAGGAATCGAAAGATGATAGTAGACAGACTGAACCTATTAATGATTATTCTGTGGAAACTAATTCCGAAGAAGAGAATCCGTGGCTCCAAACAGATTCTTCCAGAATAGTATCTTCCAGTAAAAAGAATAATAAAGGCATTATAAAAGAAAACAATAGATCTGATAAGATAGTATCAAAATTGAAAAAATTGAAACAAGGAGACCAATCACAAGATAGTATTGAAATTGATGCAGACAAAGTACTTACAATCGGTTCTGTACAAATGACCGGTAAGTCTTTAATATACACATATTTTTTTTTATTAAGATCTAATTAATTTATTAATTTAAGAGAATAAAAATAATAAAATAGAGGATTCATCAATTTCACGAAATGATAATACTTCAAACGCAAAATCGAAGTTTAAATCTGCGGAAGAAAATTCTGACGATACATTAGACGTTGAAGCAAATTTTGTACATACTAAAGATTCTATAGCATTTTCACAAAGAGAATTAGTTGCTCGTGCATTTGCAAATGATAATGTTGTAGAAGTAAGTAATAATCATAATTTTTAGTTTATCAATCTATTAGGTTTCAACTTTCAATTCAACTTAATTATATTATATATCTTCAGGAATTTGAAGCGGAAAAACAAGCAATTATAGAGGATGATGAGCCAAAAGAACAAGACTTGACGTTACCAGGATGGGTAAGTATTTTAGACATTGACATTTTCTGTTTAATCAATCATAATTATTTACATAATCATGTTTTAAATATTTTAGGGTTCATGGGGTGGCAAAGGAGTGAAGAAGCCAAAAAAGAAGAAACTTGTTTTAGCCAAGCCACTACCCGGAGGTATTGAAGCTTCCAAAAGAAAAGACGTGAAATTGCAACACGTGATTATTAATGAGAAAAGGATTAAGAAGGTAAAAAATTTTTGTATATTATTGAATTTTTGTATATTATTGTTTTCCCAAATTTGATAACCAATCAACACTTTATTCATATAGGCCAAGAAATATCTTTCTACGAATATCCCGCATCCTTTTGAAACCCGTGAACAATATGAACGAAGTCTTCGTACTCCTCTTGGCAAAGAATGGAATACTCAAGAAGTTTTCCAGAAAATAGTAACACCACGAATTATAACTAAAATGGGAACTGTTATCGATCCATTGAATGTACCCTTTCCTACTAGTGATCTTGATGAATAATGATATTTAACGTACAATTTCAACCGATTAGAAATCTTGATTATTTAATTACCAAGTTTTAATTGTTAATAATATAGTGTATTAATTTAATCATTTTAAATGGTTCTATTTATTTGGTATGGTAAATATTTTTTTTTTTGACTTTTTCTAATAATGGAAACGTCTCAAATTCGGCTTGAACAAAAACAGTCTTAGGAAACTATATATTACATAATAAAAATGCTCCATCTGTACATGTTTCACCATAAATCCATTGCTCTTGGTCGATTTCTAACTCTGCTAGTATTAGACTTATTATTATTGTCATTTTTGGATTGTGGTGAAGTAGTTCGTTTTTCTTTTGAATGTATTAAAGATGGAGATGGTATTTCCCATTTCTTAGGTTTTATTGTTTCTATTTGTTTCTCTGAACGATTTTCAATTTTTTTATCATTCACCTCTTCCTTCGCTTTATCTAATGATTTTGTTATTTGATGATGATGAGGATCTTTATCGCGATGATATTTTTCACTTCTATCATTATATCCATCTTCGTCTTCATGACGTTTCTTCTTACTATTTCTACGTCTTTCATCATCCCCGCTCTCTTCACATGATCTTTTGTTAGCTTTTTTCTCGTAACCTTTCGAGTGTTTCTTTTTCCTTTTCCTTTTTTCCGATTTATGTTTCTTAGATGATGAAACATGAGAATGTTTATGATGACTGTGTGAATATTTATGCTCACGACGTGATAAAGATTCGCCGGACTCTACTGATGACGAGCTATCATTTTCACTGGATTTGGTTCGCTTTATAGATGGACCAATTATCGATTCATCATCGAATGACAATGATACTCGAGTCACATGATCTTTCTCTTTTCTTTTAGAATGTAAAGTCTGTGATTGCGATACTTCCGTTGATTCATTAGATTGTACCTTTTCTGCACGATCTGTTTTCTTTTTGAACATTGGTCGAAATGGTGTGCTAACTGCTTCTACAGATTCCGATGAAACAGGCGGTGATTTTTTATCTTCTACCGCACTTATTGTCCCGATAACCATATTTGGTGGTTCCTGATAATAAATTTTAAAAATTAATATTACTTTTGTACTTGCATGATAATTGGTCATTTACATAAAATTTATATTTGCTACCTTATGTTTTGGTGCTGCTTCTTCGTCTTCTGTATCTGATTCGCCAAATATAGATTTAAAAAGTTCCATAGCAGGCCTAGTTTTATGAACATCAACTTCCTTAACATCACCGCTTTCTGTAGATGTATTCAAAGATACGGCCTTATCCTCTTCGGTTTCTTTTTGACTCTTAGAATTAGTAAATCCCATAAAATTTTGCGAATCCTGCTTCTCAAGAATGTCATTCATTGTTTCTTTGCTTAAAATATCTTTTTGCCCTTTTTGAGTTTTTCCAGATTGATTATCATATTTATACTCGGGATGTGGATTCGCAACATTAAACCGCTTACATAAAAGACGACTAGGATAAAAACTTGTTCTAGTTCTTGTAAGAGGACCAAACATATTCATCCTAGCTGCAGTTTCAGCTGAAGATTCAGAAGACTCTAGAGGAACTTGAATTGCCTTGCGAATACCAGTGTCATCTTGATCTATTTGGGTTGGCTGCGCACTATCTTTTTCAGGTTGTCTGAAATCTTCCACAGATTTTGCACTGGTAAAACGAGATGCCATCATTTTTGACATTGGACGGAATATTCTCGCAGACTGCGCAAATTCGTCGAGTTCTTTGATATATTCCTCAACGGTAATCCCCTTAGGATTAAATAAACATATGTATCGTTAATGAATTAATGATACTAGAATTTAATTTCATTTAATATAAATAGTAAAATAATTTTACTTCGGTCTGTTTCAAAGGAATAGTACTCAATTCAGCCTGCACCTCCAAAAAGTGTTTGTATCTTGCTTGCTTTTTCTTATCACTTTCAAAAGGAATAAATCCTTGCAAAGCTGCTAATGCGACGTCTTTATCTACTTTTGGAATTTCTACCTCACTGGGCTGTTTCTTCTTTACTTCACCTGTAGTATCAATCATATAACCAATTAGATTATCCAATCTATCCTTATCCTTTCGGGAGACATAATCAAACACAGAACGTGCTGGTGCACTCAGTGGAGTCTCTCCTAATAGTTCACCACGCTTTAAACGAGACATATTAGTTTTTATTACTTTTATATGAAAGAAGCGTACTGTATTTTACAGTATATATGTGAATACCTGTTCGGCTAATATAGCTAACGTTGTCTGCTTTTGTTTACCCTTTTGAAATAATTCTTGAGTATCTATCTTATTTATTTCTCCGGAAGGATTAAATTCATGCATAGGTACAAATCCTTGTGGAAGGATTGGCGGAGCAAACCTATCAAAAATAAATTCATTATTATATAATAAATATTAAACAAAGCATAAATGAAATTTACCATTTATCAATCGGAACAGGACGTGATGCCAATACAAATCCTTGTAGAGGTAACCTCCCATCATGACATACTCCGTTTGAAAACTAGCATAATTGAGGCGGGAACAAAATTTAGTATTATAGTTCATAAGTTAAAATCTTACAGATTTATGAAACAAAATGCCACCTTTTTTTCTCGATTTTTTTTAGAAGATAAATATTTAGATAATTTTTTTCCTCCCATGACTATTGTATCCTCATCGTCATCAATTAGTGATGTATGAAAATTTGACTTCGAAGTTTCACCATACAGAATTGCGTCGTCATCGTCATCTAATTCTTTTTTTGCAAAAAAAAAAAAATTATTACGTTAGAATAACATGAGATAAATAATATAACTTGAATATCCTTACCTCGCGTATATAATGAATCTTGAAGCTTTTTGTGTTGAAGATAACTGTCACCTAAATGAGGTTAATATGACTGTAGTACATTACATTCTGTTGAATTAGCTGCACTATCGAATACAATTAATTACCTTTAATGTTGCCTGAATGAGGGATAAATTCAGTAGCATTCTTGAAAGGATCAAAATCAAGACCGAAAGTGTCATTTTTTTGGTCAAATTTTATTATTTGAGTATCCTTAGGAGCGAATAAGACACTTTTATCAGATTCAATAAATTCTAGTTAAACAAGTATGAATGTAAGTTCTAAACTTATATTGAGTAAATTTATAAAAATTGTTGATTGCTTTACCTGTATCTTCACTCTGAATCTTTGAAACACGAGGACCAATTCCCTGACCTTCCCGCCAACCCATTGCTTTTAATAATCGAACACCTATTAAAAAAAATGAAATATGTAATCATTCATGTATTTGATGATGAATAAATTCAAAAAATAAAAAACTATATCATACCTACAGGCTCCTTATTAGGTAATACCAAATCATCAATAAATTTGTCTGGTAACGCACCCAACACACTTATAGTAAAACAAAAATATGTATATAAAATACGAAATATTAAAAAAATACTAATTCTTAATTTTAAATACCTGCCGCTTTCTTCCATAGAGCTAGCTAACATACGCTTCCTTTCTAATTCGCGTTCAGTGGAACCAAAGGAATCGAATTCATCAGTGGCAACAAGTTTTTGATTTTGTAACGATTCCTATACATTGAAATACAGTCATTAGTTCTTTAAGTAGACAACAAATAATCGGTATAATGTTTTGATATTTACCTCTAAATCTTCTTCATCCATAAAATCTTCTGGTTTAAAATCTTTACGGTCTGATCTTTTATTTCGTGATGAAACAAATGTTGACGGCGTCCATCCTATAGCAAAGTAATAAGCATATAAATTAATAAGATACAGATAATTGAAACCTAAAACTTTGCGGTATACCTTTTTTAGATCCGACCGTGTTAAAGTAGCCCGCGGACCACCCGCCTTTGAAAGCACCATGAAAACGCCTCAAGCCTTGTTCATCACGAACCTTTAGAAAAAAGAAAAAAATATATATATATAAATGTCAGAATAAGCTTTGAACCATGAATTAAAGTAAAAGAATTTTCACCTCTTGCTTCCAAACAGGTTGAAATTTTCCCTTGTCTTGTTCATCCGTATCAGGAAGTTCTGTTCCATATATAACGAAAGTCTCATTAAAAGCATCGTCATCGTCTTCTATATGTTTAGGTTTCTTTTTATTAAAAGACATTGTTATAATCTTGATCTTTTTAACGGGATAAATTTATAACTGATCGTGACTATATGAATTTTCACCAATATCGTACCACCACCAAATTTTCACCCCACGTGACTTGTGTGTAGCGATCAATTAATTAATAAATTAGTATTTTCATACTTGTTAAATAACTTTAAAATGGTAATATTATAAATATAAAAAATGCTTCTATTATAGAAAAAGAGCACTTACAGTATATGTATAACAAAATTCATATTAAAAATACATGAAAAGGTAAAAAAAGGAAGTATTAATATTTCTTAAATTTTTGTAAAAATTGATATTTACTGTTCTACATTTATTTTAAAGCATAATTAACTAGATAAAATAGGCTAAGTAAAGTTGTTCAGCATATATGGAATTACTTAAATATTAATTTTTATCAAGCTGATTCAAATATTTATAATGTATAAATTTAGTATCTTTTACTAAAAATTATTTCTTTAAAAATAATGTTTGTTTATTTGTCTATTAAATGTATACTATTGTATATGTTTTTAATATATTATATATCTCTATTTTTTTAATTAATTAATAATTTAAATTGGAGAATTGACTGCTACGCTAATCACTTGATTATTTTTCTAGCAGTAGAAGATAGCTGAAAGAAAAACTTGGTTTTTCTTATCTTAAGACCATATAAGATAAAAGTAATTCTTTCAAAATTCATTTAAGCTAAAAATTTCCAGTTTTAAAGAAGCTATATATCAGATATCAGAACTCATTCAGAAGTAATTCTCATTAAAGAAATTTTACTTCTGCAAAATTAAGCTTTTATCATATTTCTAAAAGTCATAATAGTTATATACTAGATGACTTGACTTTAAATATTGCACTTGTGTATAATTGTTTTCCTATTAGTTTTCTTTTCTTTAAAAGGATTAATTAAAATTAAATTTAATAAAGTGAGAAGAATTATTTTCAAATGTATTTATTGTAAGGGCAATAACATATATTAACTAATATTTTAGGAGGTGGAGAACAGGGACGATGATTTTTTGTGATCACAGAATTTCACAGAAAATCACAAAATTTGGCTATAAAAATGTTGATAATTTTCAAGTTTTTGGCCTGATTTAGGATTTGAAATTATTATAATTCCGGCAGACACTAAATTTGGCCAGAATTTACGAATCGTAATGTTGGCCAACCTTGCATAATTCTGGCCAAATCACAAAATTTCACAAAATTTACTTTTATCACACACAAAATTTACTTTATACCGCCACAAAAAATCATCGTCCCTGGTGGAGAAGTAAAAGAAAATCTTAGGTTACACATAATATAAAATATGTGAAATAGTTTTGATTGGTCAGTAAATATTACTATTAAAATAATATTAGCTAATATATGTTACTACTCTAAAAGTAATAAATAATTAATATATTAAAGGGAAAATATTATTTTTCAATTTTTTTTTCCAAAATAAATGTTATAATATATGCAAAAGGGATTCACCTACTACTAAGATATGTCACCGGTAGAAATTTTACTTTCATATGAAACCTTACTTTAGGATTTGCTTAAATTCTATTAATTAATTAACTAAAAAGAAACTGAAAAAATCATAACAATGTAACATAAAATTTTCTTTTATAGTAGGATCTTTAAAGAATTTTATATGTAAACTTTACCTTAAGTCACAGAGTGACTTATCTTAATAGTAGACGGAGTCCTATGCAAAATAAATATTGTACCAATTAAATTCAGATGTCACAAAATCATGTGAGATAAAAAAATTTTATAGCAATACTGGGGTAGTTATGATTATCTTGCTGATCTTGCATCCCTAGAATATAAAGAATACAAATATGAAATTATTAGTAATATTTTATATAGTTATATTATGTTTTTAATTTATTAAATTGTATTATTATTGTATTATTATATATTATCTTTATTAAATATAAATATATTGCAAAATTTTATTGATTTACATTCGATTTGTTAAAATATTTTTTTGTTACTAAATTTATTACAATTGTTATTTCTTTTAAATTTTAATTTGAAATTCATTACCCAATCTTTTAAAATTAATTTTTCTATCAGACTATTCGTATCTAATCAAAAAGTTTAATCAGCACCATCCTATTAAACTTTTGAGAATTTTTCGATTCTGCAATTTGAACTAGAAGCATTTATAAATATCAGTGATAAAGAAAAAGCTCACGAATAGTTTCAAACATTTGAATCTCATTCTAAAATAACTATACCATAAATAAAAGGATATAGAATAAAGAGAAAAAAGGTGCTTTAAGAAAGAAATAACATTGTATACATGGAAATAAAGTTAAAAAAAATAAGGTAATTATGAAACAAAATTTACACAGTTATCATTTAGAATACAAAATATTCATTATAGTGCAAGCATCAAAATTTGGCTAGAAAATTGGCATCTTGAGTCATATAGCTAACCACTAGAAATTAGCATTAGATTTACATACAATCATGTGATAGATTTAGCTGAATCTTTAAGTTTTTGGCATATTAAAGAAGAAGTATGTGAAAGATTTCTAGAGTTGTTTAAAGATGGATATTTATCAGCTTCAGCAATATATACTTATGAAAATGAACTTCACATTACACAGAAAGTGATTAAAAGTTACTTAAAACACTTGCAGATTGAGCTATAAATTTAGACTATAGTTATGTTGTTAAACTTTTCTACAAATACCATAATAATATTTTTAGAAGTCGTAATGGCAAGAAAATATTCGAATGTTTAATAGAAGTAATTGATAATTATAATAGTGCATATGGGCTGATTTGTTTACTCTGCATTAAAAAGAGTTATTGATTGATTTTCACAATTTTTGTTACTCAAAATTGTTTTGTAATACCAAAAAATCATCTGATTGATGATCACTTGACTAAATAATAAGTTAAACAAAAATTTACATTTGTGAAACTTAAATTATTAAATGTAAAAGAACTGTGAAAAAACCCATTTCACTAATAAAAAACCCATTTCTCATATATATGGAATTTTTAATATATATTATTAAAAAGTAAGTATATTTTAATAAAAAAAATATAAAGTAAAATAAAAATTTATATAGCCTTAGTAGCTATAAATGTTTATAAAAGTATAATAAAAATATCATATAAAAGATGGTATCATAATAGATATTTTCAAACAATAAAAATAATTATTTTATGTCAAAGTTTGTATTACTATCTTTAAACGTAAATATATCAAGATTCACTGATCCGTTTTCTATAATTCTAGGCTCGTTGAAAAGCCCTTATTCTGGACTTTATAGGCGAAAAAAGAGCTCGCCGATTGAATCATTAGATCTGGAGATATTTACGTTTAAAGTTGAGGTACAAACTTTTTAACATGCTTAAATGCAAATATTTTGGGATCCACAGATCTATTTTGTATAAATTTAGACTCTTTGAAAAGCCCTTGATCTGGTCTATATGAACAAAAAAAGAGCTTACCAATTGGATCACTGGATCTGGAGATATTTACATTTTAAGTTGAGATATAAATTTTTAACATATATAATAAGTGCTAAGAATTATATTAATTTAAAAGAAATATTTACCAAATTATAGTATAATAACATTAAATAAAAATTTTTTAATACTCATTCCCAATTTACTGTATATTATATAGTATTTTGTATAATAAAAATGTAATAAAATTAATATTTTAATTAAAGGTAAACAAATCAGCCTATATGCTTTAGGTAATAGTAGAGTAATTATATAAAAATATAAAGCTCTTCATAAGTCAGCCTATAAACTAAAAGTACTTTAAAATATATTAGCTTGCAAACCTAGCTTGCAAAGAACTTTAATAATATGTAAACTGGAAAGGCATTCATCCTTTGCATTATGACCAGTTTAATATGCCACATTTATGAAAAATTTCGCAAGCTAGAGAACTTTACTATATAGACTTCTCTACTTCATTTAACTCTTTAAATATCTTAATTATGCTTTTAGGGGATGGCCAGAAATTACGTAATTTGATTTTTGAGTTTTTTACCCCCCCTCCCCCCTCTGTCATCATTTCCAAATAAAGAAATCATACAATCACGTGATATGTTAAAAAGGTTTGACGACGTAAATATTTATCTCTCTTATTTATTTTATTGAACGCGTATATTTTATAAATTTAACAGTTTAAATAATGAATTTTATATTTATGTTTCATAAATTCAATGTATTTTATTTATCATTAAGCATCTGTAATACATGATAATTAAATGTAAAATTTCCTTATTTCTAAAGTTTTACTATTGAATTAATTATGTTTGTAATTTCGTGGCCTACCTCTACCTCTTTTTGTTGTCTTTTCTTTTTAAAGTTCCTGTGAAGTATTATCATTTGAATTCTCGTTCTCATCATCTTGTGTACTTTCTGCATTATATTCATAATCCTGTTGCAAATATTTGGATGCTTCAATAACAACATTTATTGCTACTCTTTCTACTGGTACCCTTTCACCTGAATGAATTGTTTTAGTGTGTTGCTTTAGAAATGCTTTGGATGGGAAATATCTAAAGAATTTTCGACATGTTAAACTGTGATATAAATCTGAAGTGATGCTAGGACAGTGCTCATCATAGCCCGGCAATTTTTCTCCAAAATACTCCAGAGTATGGATTAAATTTAAAAAATGTCCATCATGACCTAGTATAACGGGTGGTAAAAAGCCATTGTTTGCGGATAAAAGATTATGTATCTCCAGTGCACGTGGTTGTGCACAACAGTTTCGGTCTTTGCACTTCCTTATATCAAGAGAATACTTACAAATTTGTGCATGCCGATCAATCCAATCCCACGATACCTATTCTATATCTAAAAAATCTGCCCGATCATGATCCTCAACGTATGTGGTAATAACTGGATGCCCATTGATATTATCCCAGCTCCAAAGTTCGCATAAACATTCACCTGCATGTCTAAAATTATTACGTCCGAGATACCTATCCGTAATTGTAATTTTTCCTTCAACACTT